GCTGACATAATTCTCAGTTATTTATTTCTTTTGTTTTCACACACACAACTCATTTAATAAAACACTGTTTTAACAGGTTTATGATGCGTTTTTTTAAATTTCATACATATCTGAATGTTTCGGATCTTTTACAGGCTCTGTTCACATGAGTATGATTTTAATTAATTTTGATGAGCTACCTTCAAACAAAATTAACTGGATGTCGGATAAATTCATAGAAGATTGTCGATTTTTTTTATTGCCAATGTATGAATACTTAATAATTTACTAATTTGTTCTTAAACAATAAACTACTTTATTTTATTTGTGTTTTATTTATTTAACTTATTTAAATGTAGATATACAATATGGATAAAAGTATAAAAACGCATCTTAAACCCGAAACAGTATTTTATTTAATCATTCACAGCTATTACTTCTTAATAATGTGTTGGTACTAAGCACTTTAATTTTATAGCATCTAAATAGTTCGATCAATGCCAGTTTATTATTATTTCTAGTTGCATAGATAATAATTAAATGTAACAATAACAAAGCTCTTCACAAACGAGGTCAAATTAGTGTCGAAACCCGTAAACATTATCTGTAAGGCGATCGCTAATAAGTAATAGAAAAGTTCAAAGTTCTATTAGACTATTAGGTGTGAACTCTAATTGGTACGGCATATCGACCGGTGATATCGGATAGATAATCACGATGCAAATAGGAACAGAATTAATTAATGAGAATGCATTGGATTGGCCGCGGCCCGGTGACGGCGCGCACGCGTCGCTCGCCGCCGGCGCGCGCGCTCGCGGTGACCAATCGCCAGGAGTCGCACTCGCGCGCACACGTCTTCTTCACTGACCTCCTCTAATTGGCACCCGTGTAGGCTGATGGGCTAGTTTGTCGACTAATCTCCCCTCGGATACGATCGTACATACTATGCTTACACCTTCCGCGGCATACTTATCAACACGAGAATCGAAAAGAATTTGTGCTGCAAAGCACAACTTATCTATTGCAGATTTACTTACACAACGTTATAACGAATATTAATTTATATACGTATTCAAATACAGGAATATTCTCACGAAAAAAATCCTTTTATAACAATTTGACAAACTTTATAGTAAGATCAATATACTTATTAAAATAAGAACATTACAGATGAAACTGGTTTCAATCATCACCAAATACGTAATATTGTTGATAATCTACTATCGAAATTGTATCTGAATCTTTGACTTATGTAAGAAGTTGTGATTATATCTTAATTCCAAACATTTCTATAGATAGTGCCAATGTGCAATGGTAAGGAATCTAAACGTTTAAGAAACGTGCACTTGTCTGACAGGGTCAGAGGTTAACGGCTATGATTATTATCTTATTGGACAACTTTCTTATGAGCAAATGACACGATAATGACATTACGTTCGGATAACCCGAGATAAAATTTATTAGATTACATTTCGAACTAATAAAGTACGAGCCTTGACCCAGAAGGCTTCAAATGTTAATTACAGCTATTAATTGCTGCTTCGGCCATAATAGAGATGTAAAAGTGTTTGACGAACTCCGTGGCCGAGTGATATATACGCGCCGCCTACTCAGAGGTCCCGATTCGAATTCCGGTGGCAAATGTTAGTAGGATGAATACAAGCAGTTGTAGTCATGGATGTTTATACTTATATATGTATCGGTGTATGTATTCTATCCGTTACCCTAGCATCCCATAACACAAGCCGTACAATGCTTGCTTTGGTTGGGGCTAGGCTAATTGGTATATAAAAAAGTGTTATAAATTTAATTCAAGAATTGTTAAACACAACAACTATTTCAATTAGAAAAGCATAAATGTTTGTGAAATTTGTATAATTGAGTAATGCATATAAATATGACGAATCACATAAATTTTCGTGTCTAATATTATATATCGTATCAGTATAATTTTAAAGGTTCGGAAATGAAGACTAATTTAAAAAGTACGAAGTAAACAAGGCAATATTGAAATAATTACGACTTAACCGTACCACAAAACATTAATGAGTTGGTTCGATGTTCTAAACAAATTTGAGGAACAATGTTGTCAAAATACCGTTAACAAATCAATAATGATCTCTTTAGCTTTGAATTTATATTTGAAAGCTCATTATGCAGTCTGCTCTCATTGTTAAAATTTGTTATTTCATACGGTACTTATGTCCTACTGTTTGATAAGAAACTTTAAATACCTACAATGATTAATATTTTAGGACAAAAATAATTCAGTGAATTAATATCAAAGTACAATATTCAAAATTAGATTGAGTAAAACTTTTTTTTTGACTTATGTATACATATGTATATAGAGATCCTATTATTTTTTAACTTTATTTTATTTTATTACTTATTATGTACAGTAACATGCATTCTTTAAATATTTCATGTTTTTTTACCTATTTTCGTTGAAGGGATAGAGCTCTGTGACAGACAGCAGCATACCAATAGAGTTCCTTTTGTCACCCTTTGACTACAGAACCCTAAAACAAAGAAAAGCAATATGTCATTAATACAATTGATTTATAAAAAAATATCCAAAAATAGTTTATATTTTTAAGATAATCTATAACGTTGATCTGGATTACTAGGAAGGCAAAAGCGGGAGCGTGTGACCCGGTGGCCGGCTGACCGCGGCGCCCGCGCCGACCCACATCCGACCGGTGTCCGCTATTGTCTCGATAAGCTGCGTCAAATGATTAACCAACCTAAACCTATTCACAAATTGCAACTAACTGTGTATCAGTGATTCATAAGTCTTATTAGAATACCGTACCTAGTAAGTTTTACTATAACTTAACATCACAATAAGATTAACTACGAATAAGACTAGGGGGCTGGGCGAATAAAAGTGTTTGATTTTTTCCGTCACGACTGTCAGTTGTTTCGTAGCATATAGTGTGAAGTTTCTTATACTTGTGTTTATTATTAACTTTTTCAAACGACATTCACGTTTGCTGTTTTTGTATTCCATTTCATACGCCATCCTTAACCAGTTAGTTTAGTTAAAGGGCTGAAATTTTAACAAAATGATTATATATGTTTCTTAGGTTTACACGCCCATCACTCATTAAATAAAACAAGTTTCAACGGGTTTTATTTATTTATGGACGTCTCGCATCCTTTGCGGGAATGTGTCGTCGGAATAACAAAATGATTATTGTTTGTTTATTTAATTATTCTTGTGCCACTTGAAGTATTTCATATCGGAACCTGTTTGAGCGTAAATAAGCTTCGATACCTTCGATCACAGAAAGTTCGATACTCCCAACATGTCACGACGCTAGGCCAAATCTTAATAGTCGAAAGTGGCTGACGCCCAACTTTTTAGACTACTGTACTTTTAATACTTTCTTTCTTAACTGCAAAGTATATGGCATGATGCTATATGTAGTTTGTATTAAAGAGTACACACAGATCGTGATTATTTTTAGTTGACAAACATGGTATGCATGGATAGATGACTACAGGCTATGACTTATTATTATGGTAGAGTTCGTTCTAAAGAACAACCCACTCTCCGACATTATTTCGTCGTGTGTTATATGTATGCGTTTGTGTTTTCGTAATCATGCGTTTACTTTAAGTGTTATTAGTATGAAACTAATAAAATTTTCTTGATTTTGTGTAGAGCAAGTGTAACTAGTGTCATGTATGATTGAGTTGAAGCGGTAGAAACAATATGCATTGCACTAACCGCCCGTACTTTTATAAACAGTGAACTCTGTCTTAGAGCTGATCTAATTTTGATGAAATTTGCAATAGATAATGAGATCCTCGAAGATTAAAATAAGCTGTATAAGCTATTGTTGTGAAAATATAACTTGAAAGTATAAAAATAGGAAGTTCCTATGACGAATTAATTATATTACGCCGAGGAAGTTACCGACACCTATTAGCATTTAAAAGGTTTTCTAGTATTATAATGGGCAAATAAATAAAAATAATTGTTTACTTTTATCGAATAATTGTTATGACGATTATATATTGGCAGTATCATATACAAACATTAAATATTTGGTGATGATCCAAACCTGGACTAAAATACACAAGACAGACAAGAAAAAAAAATCTTTGTTCTCAAATTCATGGTTATTGTTTTACATAGCTACTATGAAAATTAAAAATATTCCAATTCCTGTCGAGCAGTCCATGCATACAATAGTTTTTTTCTTTTTAGGTAATGCGTCAAAGAAAGCGTGCTTTTTAAACTTTCGAGAAATAATTTCTTCTTTTTATTCTTAAGTCTTTTTATATTACATATTGTATTTTTATCAGTCCTTGGATAAGTATGCAAATTTAAAATTTAATCTGACGTAAAAGTATGTACTTTCTTCAAACTGTCAACACATCAACTTCGTACGTAATGGGATCTTTTGACGTGATTTTCAGGTAAAAATCACTTTATAAAGTTATTACAATTTCCTAATACCAGTTTTATATATAAAAACAAGAAAGAATTATTTTCCACATAATATTTTTTTGATGAAAAAATATATTTCTATAAATATATGTCTCATAGATCGGACGTAAAATAAAATATATTAATAATATGTGAACTTGATTTAGTTTTTTTACTAGGTGATCTTTTCTTTATTATTGAATATTTCTAAAACTATGCTTATGTTGTTAAATTTCGAATATACAGACAAAAAACTCAATTAAATCTCACCCAAATCAATTTTTTCAATTTTGTGAAATATTGCTTAAAAGAAGTTTTTTGTGTATATTTTTTAAGTGAATTTTCTGTTTAATAAGGTAATAAGGGTATCAGGATTAAAAAGATTTCTTTCATTGTAAGTATGTTTTATTTTCTGTGTTTATATAAGAGGTAACAGAAAGGAACGCGATACGGCAACCGGCTCTTTATAGCCTCATCAATATGTAGTTACTATTTATAATTTATATTATAATAATAGCGTCTTGTGACTAACTGTTATAATTTTTCGAAAATTTTCTTTAAATATATTAATCATTTTTTATAATTAAGGCACTTTGTACATGGCTTAGGATACAAAATATATGATTTAATAAGTGTATGACACTCGGCAAATGCCATATGACTAGTGAAGTCGCGGATTGCGCAACTTGAACTAACTCTACACTTAATCTAACGTATAATCTAATTGTCACATAATGTACATTGGTCCCTACAAACCTAACGCTGAAATCTCTAACAGTGCACACACAATTCAAAAAACTTTACAAAAATAATTTAGAATTAAATAATTACGACTTAATTTTAACAACTGCGAGCGATAGCAGGTATAACATCTACAACTAAATTACGAGATCGTGGATCATGTGGAACTCAGTCTTTTCAATAGGCATGAACTGTAGCGGCCGGTGGCAGCGACTGGTGGCCGTGTGTCGGCGGGAGCGCCTCAGGCCTGTACTCGTAGGGGCCACTTCCGGGAGTTCCACATCCACCTTCCAAATGTTTACTCAAGAGGGACATCCGCGAGAAGGTCTTGCCACAACCTGAGCACGAGTACTTCTTGACATCAGAATGTGTTTGTAGGTGAGCCCTTAAGTTCGACCGGTCTGCGAAAGCGCGACGACAATGATGACACGAGAAAGGCTTCTCCCCTGTGTGTGTCCGGATATGTCCCTGCAGTAACCACGGTCGTGAGAAAGCTTTCCCACATAAATGACACTTGCAAGGCAACGTATGAGTGCGAATGTGCATTTTCAGTGCACCCAGAGAAGTATATACTTTCGCACAGTATTTGCAGCTGAAGGATTTTCTTGCGAGACTTCCTTCCGCTGCGGCACAATGATATTGCTGATGTTTCGTGAGTCCAGAGTAAGTCGAGTAGGATTTGGCACAATCAGGACACTGATAGCGAGGACGTCTGGGTGCTGATACAGATACGCCAGAGTCTGATGACACGGAGCCGGGTGAGCGTAAATCTTCAGGGCAGGGCGGAGGCGAACAAGACGACGGTGGTGATGCGGGCGAGTAACGGGAGTATAGCTGCGCGTGAGTCGGTGGCGACAGAGCTGGTGCGGCGGGATATAGTTCTTCTAGAGGATAAGGCGCGTACAGTGTTGGTATGTACGCATATTGAGGTGTAGGGCGGGCGAGTTCTGTCGGTGCCGGTTCGAGGCGGGCGCGACAAGCCGCAAGATATTCTAGCTGATGATGAGACCATTCACGCGGTTCTACTTTTACGGCCGTAGCTGCTACGGGTGATGAAGCTTTACTAGGGTAGTTGCCAGTCTTAGATAAATCTTCAGGTTTTGTGCTTAGATTTTCTGGCTCCTCATTTTCAGTATCATCTGGGGACAAAAGAAATAAATTTTAGATATACTGAAATTTATAAAAATAGCATAGATCTACGATTCTATTTAGTTTTTTTTATTATACTTTTCATTTCTTATAATTCTTTCATTCATTTTCATTGCAACTTTTAAATACATTTAAATTTTCGATTATTTCTGTTCTGTTTAACTGAAAAATTTATAATTTACCATTTTCTAGACAATGAGTAGTTTTAAGCTTTTATCATTTAAATGTTTTAGTTTAAATAAAAAATTATAACATTTACTAATAAAAATTAAATGTTACTCTTGACGTAACCCAATAAACTTGAAACTAAATAAATACTAGCAAGAACTTTTGTTAATCATATTTCCAACATTATCTAAAATGACCATAAAATGACACTTACAATGATAATCATTATAAAGGCGCGTAGCAAGGTGGGCGGGGTGCGGCGGCGTTGTGGGCGGCGTTGCCGGTCGCTCCTCCCGCACCAACACTGGCCGCTTCTTCAGCGGACAGTGTGCGTAATTCTTCGTCATGAAACGAGATGTCTGAGTATCCTCCACAAGCATCTTGCACAATTTCACAAACACTTAAAAGTTCTTAACTAAAATTGTCTTTAAAACGTATCACAATATCACTAAAGAAGCAGTCCAAACATTGCAAGTTGCGCCGGAGTCGTAAATAGAGTGGCGATCGAGACGCAAGAGTCGTATACACGTGTACAGTTCAGTGTCCGGAATCGGAGTGGTGCGGTGAGGGAAGCGCGCGGCTTATAAGCGCTCCCCGGCGGAGCGGGCCAGGTGGCGGCGGGTAGGCCGCGCACGTGCGCCGTGCCCAATCGGCGGCGGTCGCGAGGCATCGGCCAATCGCGGCGCGGCGGCGGCGCGGGGCGGCGGCGGCACCTGCGCCTCCGCACCCGGCTCGCAGCCTCTTAGTGCTATATGCCCAGCTCCAGCGCCGCACCGGTCGACACCGTCTCTGCCAGCCGAACGATTTTTTGCACAAATCTTGGGGTTAAGCACCTTTGAACTGAACCATTGCGTCTTTTCGGATCGCTCTCTTACTTTGTTCACTCGACTTATTGTATTCTAAAGTCGATCGAGCCTTGCAGCTGGTAATGACTTTTGTTCGTGATATATGGGCATTCAAAAACTTAAATAAAGACAAATTCTTTAGAACAGTAGGCAGTTTATTATTTAGTATTCAGTAGTAAACTTTAAAAATAAATATAATGATGAAGATTAGAAAAATTAATTAAGCGATTGTTAATTTGTGGGGGTCCTTAGACCTCATTGCTTGACAAACATGCTTGATGAGACTTAACGCAACGTCAAGCATGCTTGTTACGCATCCGCACCAATATCGTATTAGGTACTACAAGTACGCAATATACTTGTTTCTTGGAAACTCTGCATACAAAAATATGGAATATCTGACTTTTTAACCTTTAAGAGACAGATTTACCAATGAGCAATTGCAAAAGATTTTTCATCCTTTCTCAAAAATTTATTCGTCATATTGCAGAATCTTTGCAATTGCAAAAAAAGGTTTTGAGGATGATTGTAATCCTACTCTTTGGAATGGATCGTCACAACCCATTAATGTGTCCCCACTGCTGGTACACAAACCTTCCCTATAGATGAAATAAGCTGATTGGGCCACGACCCACCAAGCGGGCCCAGTGCGGATTGGTGGGTGCAAACAACTGCAGATGCAGCCGGACCAACGACCGGGAACTCTAGATATAAAGTTCAATCCATCACCCATCCAATGACCGACGATGGAAAGATTACATACTGTTAAGATAGCAGTAGACATATTGTTAAGGTAGCAAAAATTTATCAGGCATTTTGCTAAAGGCCTTTGGCAAATTTTTATTTCTTTAAACACAATTTATTGGTGTCTGTGGTCAGTGGGTTAGGTTAGGTTTGTGTGATGACCTAAACCAGCCAGCCATCATAAATAGATACATAAACAAAGAAATGTTAAATAAATTGCATCGCAAAAGACGATTGTAACTTTGAACTATCTCCATTAATTAACATGGTTCTGCTATAGGTAATAATGATGGATCAGCTTTTTAGCTAAATTGTGGATATTAAAATGACTAAAGATGATTTTGACTTTCCTAAACTATACGTTTAAATGTCTGCTAAATGCCAAATGATTTTTTGCGAAATGAAGTTGATACCATCCGCCTATATGCATTATAAAATCATGACGTTATAAGTTCTGCGATACAAGGTAGACTCTTAATTCGATTCGTAATCTTATAGTATACTTTGTATAGAATCATAAAATATTAATAGATTGAATTGAAATAACAAAGTGTTCATTATTGAATTTGTATTGCTTCCTACATAGTTGAATACATTGTTCAAACAATATGATTCCTATATGTGCAGGGTATGGTTGTTCAGGTACAATGAGTAGGTTATCGATCAATTTCTGGATAGGAAAAATTACATAGTTACTTCTATAAAACTTATAATTCACGTAGTGTCACACACTTGCTAATTCATGTTCTATAATTTATACTATATACAGAGTAGTGACTACGTAATACCTAATGAATAACTGCGTGTTCAAAACGTCCTACTTAGCGAAAAGATTGTTATGTGAAACGCGACGATGACACATTGATTGCATGACACGGGTGCTTAACCTTGCGCTCGAAATCATCTAGAAAACCAAATTAGATTATATATCCACGCAGGACTAATAATATGACAACATAGTAATATGTATCTTAAACATATTTTTTATATTTCTATAAATAAATATTACTATTTCATATGGATGATGACATTCCATAAAGCCAAATGTATCATGAAAAGTACCTATGTTAAAATATCATTTTAACCTTGAATGTCATTGCGCAGCTCGATATTGCAAGTGCAGGCCAGCTCAGCAAATACAATAATATTCACTCAGAGCGAACGTGTCAATGAATGGACATTATTCTTACACTTCGAATACAAAAACAACTTTCTTGCATTTCTGGTCAAATACTTGATATCTAATAGCGGTAATCATACAACTGACATTACTTAGGGTAGGTAGTATGCAGATAAAATGAATTGGTAATAAGAATAATATTTTACAACTTTGTGTAACCGGAAATGTCAAAAACCAGTTGTGTCACAAAGAGATTTCCTTGTCTGTATCTAACCAAACAAGATAGGTTCGCAACCCCTTCCCAACGCGGAAATATAACGTTCAATAAGTCCTTTGTTATATTTTTGTGCGACCAGAACTAATTCCCACAGGTCAGCCTGTTCCCTGGGTAAATTAGGAATTCTCACAGGAACAAGTTACCTTTGTAACTAACTAAGTGAACAACACCTTTATATTTACTGATAGATGTGATATGGTTAACACAGAGAGCCATACTCAATAACTATTCCGACATTATTTATTTATGTAGATTGACGTTGTCGACATAAGTCTTCTAAACAAGTTCAACGGTCATATTTCTCATCCGCATCATGATGACAAGAATTGCAAGCGATGAAATTCAACTCGTGACTCAGCTCGTAAATGTGTCAAGGGATTGACATAGAACGGACATCAAGCAAAATCGTAAACATACCTGTGACTAATAGCAGGAACCAATAGTCAGCAATAACTAAATCAAAAGGCCAACTGAACCTTTGATTATCTTATCGAGCAATCATCAACCGCTTTCATCGCTTAATATTTCTCATAAGGAGGCAGTGAGAAGAGATCATAATAAACAAAATGTCAGTCATTATTTAATGAGTTTTGTGAATGAATTCTATATCTCATTATATGCCTGGGAAACGTAAACAAAACAACCGTTGGATTGTAAACAACACATTAAATAAATGACTTCACTGGACGTGTGGCATGCCGACCTAATTTGTTTCTAAAATATAAACATGTTTATTGAATACTTATCTTCTATATAACAGTAATGTCGCATTTACTGGAAGTTTGCTTATTGTCAATTTCCTGTTTGTAGTACTGTTAGTTGAGACTGTATTGATAACGTGTACTGTATTGATTAACTGTATGTGTAAACGATTATGAAGATATTTTCTCTGACGTTATCACGGCATAGTTCAATAACTATTCACTTACATTATTTTCACTAAATTAGATACTTAATTATTTTTTTTGCAAATATGTATTATCTAAATTATTTAAAATACATTATTCCTAACACTATTATTGACAATAAATAAATTTTTATTCGAACGAAATGACTCAGATTAGGTGTCATCTGCTCATCTATCAGTGCTTATGCGCACGGTGGCCCGGGGTGCGGGGTGGCGGGTGCAAGCGGCTGTGTCGGCCAGGTGCTGCTAGGTCGCGGGGCCGGGGCGCGGGCGCGTGCGTAACGGTCGCGGCACGAGCTGGGCCAGGGGACGTGCGGTGCGCTATGGCGGAAATAGCGATGGACAGGGGCGCTGCGCCGCCGCGCCGCCGGGCAGGTGGTGCGATATACGAGTACACTCTAAATGTCGCACAATTGGCGGTTAATTCCTCGCTCGCATAATATTACTCGCGAATACCTACTTTAAATGCGGAGCGTATTATTTCACATTTAAATAACTTTTTGTATAATAATATTAATAGTGGTAACCCTTTGCACCCGCGTGTAGGATCGAATTATGAAAGTGAATAGTTTCACTACGAATTTCACAATATTAGTTTTACTCACCATACCATTTTAATGAAGACGACTTAGTCAGATTTTAAGGTTAAGGACCTTGAACAAAATGGAAAGAAGACATTGAAATGCCTTTATCATAATTTTGCGAATTTATGTTAAAGTAGTAACTCTTTTAGTTTTTTTTTTCAAATTCAACGCATTTGTTTTTAATATCCAACGTATTTTTCGTAATTCCTTATGATTATATAGGAATTAAAGTAAAATCTTTAGTTATGATTAAATTAAATATGGTGTCAAAATGTGCATTAAAGAAGTCGCAGGGTGGCAGCCATTTCGTATGTATAGAATAATTGATTACTTAAGGGAAAACCAGGAGACTTGCCCAGGTGGGAGAGTTGAATCATCTTTCAGAACTGTATTTAAATTTAGCGCAAACAAAATGTCAATTCGTAAATTGGCCACTTGCGAGACTGTTTTATAATGATTGGCGTCTCGCATGACCAATGAACAATTTGACTTTTTTTAATTCCCTTACCCGTAATTTTAGAACTGTTTAATCAGGCTGTATAGAGGATGAAAAAGAGAGACTATTCTCAAATTTTGTTTTAGAATTTACCATATTGTGGTAAACGGTAACCGTTTTCATGTACTCCATTCATATCACAATTACGCTTCAAAAAGTCTTTTCCAAGGTAATAATCTTTACCTTACTACTAAAAATCATCAAAGTCGGTCAAATTGACAGGCGAACAAGACGAGTTACTGTTCTAATGACTATGTTCTCTTATTTTATTTGATTAGGCGCAGGCCAGCAGATGATAAGTATATTACGAGACATTAGTCTGTGGTACATTTGCCAATTGTGCTGCTTCAACCATTCCCAATCCCCTGCATCGTGGAGCCTGTGAACCTTATCTCATGGACAAAAACAAACACCACATCATTTAGTAACACTGTTTCAGTGTGTTCTGTGCTGTAAGTTTAAAGCGTTGAACTTTACAACGATAAATAAAATATAGCATTGTTAATAAAAATGATGACGTCCGATTCAAGCCCATGGCACACCTGAGCAGACCGTCCGTTATTGTTGTGTGTG